TACCCGTAATTGCGATTTCTTCATCGCAGTTACGCGTAGTTACGGCGCAATTTTCCGCAATTACGGGTCACAGTGCGATCGCAGTTACGCCGTAACTGCGCCACAGTTTCATCGTAATGAAACACATGGGTGTGCTCTGTCGTGAATTTGAACTGGGAAGTTGTCGACAGTGAATGTAGTTCTGATAAGTTGGTGTCTCTATTTATGTCTCAAATTTGCTTCATCATTCTCCCCGATAAGCACTGTTTTTTCCGTCCTCGTCGTTGTCAAAACAGGTTTCTTCGCTATTAACGCTTCTATTGATACTGCTTTGACGAGAGAAAAAGGTGAAAGCAGCAGAATCCTACCATAGGCATAGAAGATCAGTGCAAATAGATGTAGAAAATAATATTTTGCTCATAGGTATTTTGAAATCACTGGGTGTGCTATTTCGGCACTCTGGTCCCAAGATAAGAACGTTGACAGTTAAGAATAACACAATCTGTGGGTCCTCAGTCTCAAAAACAGAAAATGTGGTGCAGTATGATCAGAAAGTTCAAATATAGTTAATTTTGAGCTATTTCTGTTGAGCATGCCTGTAATGGTAAGGTTTTCGGTAAAAAGGTAGTCGTGCTACAACAGCATGCTTGATCTAAAATAGTAATTTTTTAATCTTTCTCAATTTGCAGCCTGAAAATGAAAACGCTCTGGTTATTTTTCGTTATTTCTATGTATTATTGTATGATTTGGACATTAATGGAAATGTACTAGAACTTGGTGTAATAGAGACGATGAACAATCAATTGAAAAAAATTATCAATCTATTTTTTGATTTAGTATTCATTAAATTTATAAATTATGCCAAAAGATATTGTTTAATCTGGAATTGTACTGGAGTCATCCAACATGTAGAATATAAAATGTCTACTGCTATTAAAAAAGTAAAGAAACCATGTGAGCCTCATAATTGCATCCCATTAAGTACAACTCGTGAAAGCATTGTTCTCACATTCTATTCGCAAGATGACAGCAACACTTATCTCGTAGGACACGTATGGACATATTTTTTAAATGAAATTAACCATTCTCAGTGATTTGTATGACTTGAAGAAACGCAAAAGAGAGAACAAAACGAAACACAGACATATTATGTCTCAAATCACATAGTAGTGTGCGCTCGTTTAATACTCAATTTTCTCAAATGTAAATGGATCCAATACTGTCTGTTATTCGAACAGAACCAAACTGAATACTTGCTTTTGTTGAATACAGGTAAGGATATATTACTAATAAATTTAGATAATAACGATTCGAAGAATTGCTTTTTTTTCAAATGATAATAGCGTGTGGATGGTAATGAAAGTTTTCATTTTATGAGATAGCAGGCTTTACTGATTGTTGAATGAGGTGTAGAGTTGACCGAGTTAGAAATGATAGAATTCATATTTTAGGATCCAAAACTTTCTTGTAAAAATTGTAACAGTTGTTAAATACAGTTTAATAACACTTCCTCTACTTTAAAATATGGAAGTGTGAATGAGATTCCATTTTACGCTTATATCCATATGAATATTAATAAGCCAGAAATGATAATCTCAAATCTGAGAAACATTAGTCTTGAAGAGTGAACATCAATTTTTGTGCTTTACTTCATTTAAAAAATATCTAAAAATCAGATTAAGACGCCATAGCTGTCGAGCGATCTCATGACGGTTAATATCATAGTCTATTATTTACAATTCATTTGTTTAACAGCTAATTGGAAGAAGTGAAATGTCACCTACTACACTGATATCGACAAGAATCGAAGAGCTCATTGGGCAAATAGACGAGGTCAAAGTGTTTGAAGATCATTGGAAGCTAGTTGAAAAAACTTTAATTCAACTTCGACATGAATTGATTGAAATGAGTAAAATAAAACGTGGGATTCGTAAGGAAGAAAAAATATCAGATACAATTGAAATCATCGAGCAAGTTGCTGCTACTTGTTGCGATGATCAATTTGTTTCAAAAGGATTTATCTATCGAGAACTTGAATCATTATTGCTTCGCCTTCAATTTCGCCTTGCACAACATCACGCTAATTTAACAGATGACTATCAAACTAAAGTCAACATACTCAGTGACAGTTCTCGTGCACGGCAGGTACTTATGCAGAAGATTTTCGATAAAAAGATGAGACAACGATTAGAACACACGAAAGAAGACCTTGGTCAATTGCGTGCAAGACATGGAAAGACGATTGAATCGTACCTTCGTAGTTATACGGAGTTGCATAAAAGTATACCATTTATTTGTCCCAAAAGCGAGATTGTCGGTAAAGTTGCTAATCGTTTTTATGAATTGGATCCTGAAAATCAGATTAAATTCGCACATAAATGGCAAGGATGTGGCGAATTACCTCTTATTCGTACATTTATTCAGTTGAGACGCGACAAATTTACGTCTTTTGAAAGAATCGAATCACGACGATTACTCATCGGACCAGAAGTCAATTCATTTCAAGATGTTGATAGTGAGAGATTGGTATCAGCACCCTATATGTTGTCAATGGTCGAACGCGATCGATATGTTAACAACGTAGACGAGGAAAATGTTAGTGTGGAAAATGCTCTTCGAACAAAACGTTGGATTGTTATTTTGGGCGATCCAGGCAGCGGAAAAACGAGTTTTTCTCGATGGCTGGTTTGCCACCTTGCTGAAACACTTCTCGTCAACCGACGACATTCGACTGATTTTGGTCCTGTTCGAATCCCAATTCTAATTCGTATCGGAGAATTCGCCGAACTTTTGAGCACATCATCTTCATTGACTCTATTTGACTATGTCGGGCGGCACACATGGATGGGCAAAGCCATTATTGATGATCGATCGATTTCTGCTGATAAATTATCAACTATTCTTCAAGATTACATTGAACAAGGTCAAGCGTTGATTATTCTCGATGGCCTCGATGAGGTTCCCGTTTCAGAACAACGTTCAAAGGTGCTCAATGCTGTTGAGAATTTTGCTGAAACTTATGTTCAAACATCAACAGGTGAATCTGTCTTCGATAATCCACATTTGAGCAAGCATTTCGATGATCCATCTGAATCTGGAAGAAATCAACTGATTATTACAAGTCGTATTGCAGGCTATCATGCTGCTCCTTTAGCTGGCCAATTTACTTATTATACAATTCGACCAATGGATATAGAACATATAAAGGACTTTGCTGATTATTGGTTTTACCGTGTTCATCAACAAATTATCGATATATTAGGTCTTTCGAAAGCCAATCGAGGAAGAAATCATAGTGAATCACTTAAACAAGAATTCGAAAAAGAAAATAATACTAGCCTTCTGGATATGGCTTCGAATCCTTGTCTGATGTCATTCATTTGTAACGTAGCTTTTGGTCAATCCAATGATGCGTCATTGCCTACTAATCGTATTGAACTTTATCAAAATATTACCGATTCCATGTTGAGTTCATGGCATAGAAAAGGATTGACGGCTGATCTATCGACGTTGATTCGAATTCTAAGTGACATCGCCATGTATATTCATGACAATTCAGCTTCCGGTCTCATTCATGAAGATAAGATGAAAGAGATCTGCATTCAATCGATCGAAGCTTGCATAGATAAAAATCAATGCAGTGATGAGGATCTTTGTGAGATCGAAAATCAAGCAGCAGAATGCTTACGAATATTTCGCGAAGATCTGGGGATTTTCACTGCTCGAGGTGAATCTCTTTATGCATTTCTTCATTTGACATTTCAAGAATATTTTACATGCTTGAAACTTACTAATGTCGATCAATTAAGTTTAGAAAATAAGGCTTCCTTTGTTACCCAATCATTACGTCATCATATCAACGATCCACGTTTTCACATATCTACTGCACTTGCATTAGGTAAGATTAGCTCTTGTTGGTCGCCGAATGATTTTGATGATTTATGTCATCAATTTATCCAAATTGAAGAAGAATTTGATTCTCTTTTACCAGTTGGTGCTTTCGTGTTGATTAGTTCTGTCAACGATCTTGTTCATTATCCTTCGAATAACATTTTATTTGATGCTTTGGATCATTTACTAGTGGCAGCTGGTGAACACCGATGGTCACTTACGTATCCATTTCTTTTCGATCGAATTGTAGTTGAACTAAAAAACCTTCGACATAATATTGTTCCACTGTGGATTAACAACCTTTTGTCACAATCTCCACCACACAACATTCAAACGATCTCAGCTTTGTGTGCTCTTCTCGAAGGAAAACCTGGCGAATTTGAAAATATTCATTGGTTGGATCAATCATCTTGTTCGATACTTCAATCTTTTTCGACACTAGACGATGAAAATAATCAATTTGCAATTCATCAACTGTTAGTCAAAATTGCTTTCTTCAATCATCATTTATTAACTGTACATGCGAATTCTTTGAAAGAATTTTTAATTGCACCTGAAATTGATTTGCATTTAATTCCTGCGTTTCTTTTCCCATTGATCATTACTCTATATGGTGGTTTAAAACGAGAAAATCAGTCGATCGTCTTCGATCCATATCATATCTATCGTGAATCACCGACAATAACAGCGATTTTGACGCGTTTGCTTTCCAGAAAAGATCGCCAAACGAATAATCAAAACCTGATTAATATCGAACAAGACATTTTGAAAGCTCTTATGGCCAGAATTGAGACTAACGATGAATCTTGGGAAACGGTTGATCTTTGCATTGCGACCATCTGTTTGTACGGCATCGAATTTGTGCAGAAAAACGAGAAGATCACCTCAAGTGTTATATTTGATATGAGTCTCACTAGATTCAAATATGTTTCAAGGATTTTACGTCAAATCTATTTTACTAACGAAGAAGGCGATCGTTTTATAGAAAATAAAACAACAACGTTCATTTCAATGCTACTTAAAAAAATACATATGGGCCAAACATCAAATCAGTTATTTCTGAGTTTTCTAGACTCTTTCAAAAGTGGTCTGGCTCGCTTGAGATCTTCTACAACATCGAATTTACTCACAGGAAAATCAACACCTGATACAAGAGTAACGTTGAATTTGCCCAATTATTTTCGCAAAGAGTACGATTTCCTACTGCATCTCTTACCAACAGATGTGCAATTCAATCGTACCCAAAATTCTTGTTCTTTGCTTCATTATTTCACTAGACTTTTCTGGATACTAGAGCACGATGATATGTTTCAAACGCCGTACAGGATGGCCGTGGCTATGGACGACATACCAGAATATTTACTATTTCGCAATGACACAGATATCCTATTTCCGTTAACATTCATTCCACAACATTTACAAAACCTTTACTTTCGTTTATTAGAACAAAATTTTCTAATTATCAATTCAAAAGATGAAAAAACCAACGACGACGAACAACTTTCTTTTAGTCATATTCTAATTGAATGTTTAATGGTATTATCGAACACATCATGTAAAAGTTTGTCTCTTCTAAGTGCCTTAATAACATTACTACCTATACTTCGAATGCATCAATTAGAAAATTTCGGCGGCAGTCTATTATGGACATTAGCTACAATAGATTCGTACCTTTTGCATCGGTTTGAAATTAGTAAAGAGTACCCGATAGATGGTGAGACTGGTCTGCAAATGGATAGAATTGAAAACTTTGCTTCTGGTAATGGTATGTCAGATGAAAAGCGACGATCGCTGATAGATAAATGTATTAAAAAAGAACACGAACGATTTCGAAATGCGTTATTTGAGAATGAAGAAAGAAACACAAAGCTCTACTCTGCATGTATCTCTTTGGCACGCGTTTCCAGATGGGCCCAAGAGGAAAAGAAGTTACACCTATTCGAAGAGAGTATTCGAGGAGCGATGTCCATTGAGCCGAAACTTATGCGTCTCGATGCATTAAGTGTCATTCTAATTTATTCGCATTCTGACTATCATCCAATCCAAGTAAATAAAAGTAGATCGTTACAAAAAGAAATTGAGTTTCTATTTAATCAGATTTACCCGAATTTACCTGTTCTATTACAAACAGCTATATTTATTCGATGTTTACCACTTATTCAACGTCAAGATACGATTGAGAATTGTCGAAAAAATCTTCTTCAAAAGTTGACTAAGGCCGATCTAGAAGATCAACAAGCTGCCTACGAAGCCTTATCACCGTATCTGCAATCGAATTCTTCCTTCGCTCAATTTCAAAAAAATATTTTGACCGAATTAGCCATACAGAACGATGTTGAATTTAGCAGAACAATGGCCCGAAGGTCTTCCGTATTGAGAGAATGTTTTACTACAGGTCCATATGACAATCTATTGAATGAATCCTTATCTTTATCATTGCTTCTTTCCAACATGTATCTTGTTGAACTAGCAAGTGAACTTTATGAATGTATTGAAGCAACTGATCATTTGTTGCAAGTATCAAACGCTGGTCCATCGCCAAGAGATGAGTCAATCATTATAATGAAATTCTTTCAATTGAAAAGTTCTATTCTAACCGTTGCGCAAGCATCAACAATAAACGATATTCTTTCCACTAATTTATCAACAAATCGATATAAATACTCCAAGAAGTTTTGGATTGCTGTAAATGATGGACTACATCGTTTGAAGTTAGTAGAATTTAAAGCCTGTCGGTTGATTCATTCTTGGATGAAATGGAAGGAATCAACTGAACTTTCTCTATTTGCTTTTCATGCTGCTTTACTTCTTGCTCAATCAGATTTTTGGTCTGTCGAAGCTGCTTCCATCGTGTGTGATCTTTTATGTGATGAAAATGATCGTTTTCGGCAAAAAGCCGAACTCATTTTCCGATCAAACAGTCGCTACAATTTTCGATCAAGTTCCACAATGGGTATCGATGTTTTATTAACTTTAACAAAGAAAATGGCTCACTTTCAACACACTTCCCCATTTGCCAAGCTAACCTTATCTCGTATGTTTGATAATATAACAATAGATATTCAATCTCATCTGGAAACTTTTCTTTGGTTAGAAAGATACAGAATTTATGCGTTAACCTCTAAGCAATCTTCATTGAACAAAATAAATTCGTCATCAATTTCACATTTTGTTTCATATTTTCCAAGTGACACTACTATGGACGTATCCTTTTGTGGTCAAATACGAAATATTTCTGGAGATTTGCGGCAATATATATGTGATTTAATCCAATCGAATTTTTCATCATTCTTGAATATTGAAGATGACATAACATCGAAATGGACTTTAGACAGTCATGTTCAATTTGTCGTTTCAGTCGTTGTATCTTTAGCTACTCTATCCGCTGACGACGATGAAACACGACCATTGAGAGTTGACACTTTGACAACAATACTTGAAACATCGAGTCATAGTGTGATACGTCAAGCAGCAGCCTATGCTCTCGGCTATATTGTGGATACAGAAACATATAAAAAATTGTTTAAAAAACTTCAAACAATGGCGAACAGGGCAGTACATGAGACTTCCAACGATTCAGACAATTTGATTAGTGCATTAATTTCAAGTTATTGCTATTATCTAGCTGTGTGTGAGATCGATTGTGATCAAGATGATATTGATCTATTTCGTCAGCTGCTCACAAATTCTTCACAGATTATATTGAAAGCGGTGCATATTGGACTTGCACGTGTTCTGAAGGACAAGTCCATGTTATTTGAAATGCTTGGTTCTGATCCTATTTTGTGTTATCATGCGCTAATTGGATCTACCGCATATTTTTTTGGATATAATGTTGAGCAAAGATGTGCAGAAAATGTGGCAGAATTCATCGAAGAATATCCAGATCTTCTTTCAATCTTCATCTTTGAATTATACAATAGTATCCGTCATTTCACTAAAGACGTAGTCTATCGTGAAACAACAGACAATATTTTGGCGTATGGTTATCCTCAATATGTGGAAGTCGCAAGTTTTATTGCAATCCGAACGCCTGCAGCATTTATTTCACATATAAAAGACTGTGGGTATGAACATGACTTGAAACATTCATTATTCTTTACGAGTAAACAACATGATCTTTTACGACGTAATGCATGTATAACCATCTTATCAGTATTTGGTGAGCTAACCGTTGAATTATGTGAAGTGTTTGTTGAAGTTCTATCTCATAATCCACATACGCAAAATACTGGTAATAGATTTCTAAAACGCATCAGTTCTATCAAAGATGAGAATGCTGTTCGCAGTCTTTTATTTTCCTATTTGAAATCGAAATCAATGAATATTAGATATGCTGCAGCCAAGATGCTTCTTCATTTTTCTCAATCGTCTCTGATTCCATTTGAACAAGTTCAATTGGCATTGAGTAAGCTTATGTTGGATCCGACTTCCGAAGAAGATCTATGGTTAATAGAAGAGCCGAGAGATCTGCTTGCAGAGTGTTTGTATTATTATGTTGGGCCATTAAAAACTGTTATCTATTCGCTTCTCATGCAACATTTAACTGGCGACACATATCAAGCAGTTCAACGAAATGAGCTGAGCGACATAGAATTGGATTTTGTTCAATCTGAAAAAGCATCACGTCTTGCCTCGTGTCTCTATGAAGAGAAAAACGAAGATAAGTTGGAAATAGAAAATTTTTCGATACCTAGTAATATATTAAATGATGAAAAGCATTCATCGGCACATCACTCATCCCCTACTAACGACAAATCTGATAACGATGAGAAACCATGGAACCATGAAGAGCAAGAATGTAACAATGATGAACAAACAGTTGAAAATGACGAAGAGCCTGTTGAGATAGTGACAATCAATAATGATATGAAAGATAGGGCAGAAGTTAAAGCTATTCGATCGCCTATTATCGAAGTTAACATGAATCCATCTAACCCTCCATCAAGAACTTCTATTACTGCGAAAAATTCGAGCAGACTGTGTGTTATTATTTAGCTTTTCTCCTTTTCCCAATTATATCGTAATTAAATCATATTTTCAGATGTCTAGTAAAAGCTGATACTTTTCAGAAACAAAGGTGCCACAAGGAACTCTTTATGGCTTTGGCGAAGATGCTAAACTTTTTGAAGTTTTATTCGTTTATTAATAAATCATTAAAAATTCTAAATAACTTACAGAACTAGTAACTTTACTTATCCAATAATAATTTTAAAAAGTAGGAGGCAGGCACCGTTCAATTCGATAATCAAATTTAATAATAAGTTTGTAGCTTATAAAATGAAATAATTTTTAATCATTGCGACATATCTCAATCAACAATTCAAAGGTAAGTTTAATCTTACAATATACATCAGTTTTTTGTGTACAGTCGTGTCAACATCGAACAGTAGCGATATGCCTTTCGTGCGAATAGAGAACGGTCTGCTTGGTCTAATGGTACTCACAGCAAATTTGGATAAATATAATACACACAGAATTAAATGATTAATGATATGGATCAGCAGTAATGAACTGAGTGAGTTGACTGAAATGTGCTTTACCAGTGTATTTGAACGGAATACACACTTCGAAACACATAACATCACTGTCTGATATAATCTCGCCATTTCTTCACACCTTGTCTGTTAAGTTTGTTGGTGGCATTCTTTACAATCTCGATATTATCACATGATGAGAGCCGTTGAATACGTTCATATTCAGTCACAGTCAAATCAGTTGGTGCACACTCTTCGCACGCACTTGCTCCAGATGCACGATCAGAGTATGTTGGACTACTGAAAGGTATTGTCTTTGATGTAGGTGGTGACGAAGGTTGATGTTCTACGTACACAAATATAAACTATTGTATATATTTTACTCAATTGGAGTGAGGGATAGGAAGAATTGCTTTGACATCAGTTCTTTCCAAATACAAACACTTAATAATAAAAAAAATAAAATATCGCTTCTAGTGTATTTTTATCAGATTCTATGGGAATTTGAAGTAGCGCTCTCGGGAATTCCAAAAAACACGAAAGAATTTAAAAAACTTGCTTAGGTCATTCTATAATTCTATTATTATTTAATTGGTCGACAAATCATAAAAATTAAAAACGTTTTGTTCACGATAGTATAGATAATTAATTTTTGAATGAGGGTGTCTTATTGAATTTCAATAGAGAGTAAACAATCAGGCAACCATTTGTCGTCAGGTTTCAATGACAGGAAATATTCGCCGCAATTTGACGCTTTTTCTTGGGACTTTTGAAGAGAGGCAGTCGTTTGCCTCAAAATACTGTAGCTTTTCTTGTGTAAAGACACTTCGCAAAAGGTTTCGGCACAATCTTTCACATCATTTGCCTCCTATAGACTTTTTGACGTATGGATTATTACAAGTCTTCAAAATTTCTAAAAATAACTTTAATTTATCATGTACCTCTATTTTCAGCAGGCTGCTTGAGTGGTTGCTCTGGCACGATGCATTCTTTTGAAGGGCATGCTACCTGATCTAGTAATTCTTCAATAGATGCACTTTCATATTTCTTTTTATATTCACAAGCGGCTTTTCGTCCATCATCACTGGCTATTTTCATCTTCACGATCACCATTTGATCTTGTCCCACGTATAAAATTCGAAAAGTAGTGCATATATCGAAAACAATAACTGGCGATGATACGTTTTCAAACAATTCAACATATGCTGTTTTCGAATCACAATCAATTTTAAAAAAGACTGGTATTAAATCAGGACGATAAGCTGGTGATTGAGCAGCTGCCAAAGCCACCGTTCTCGATTTAGTACAAACGAAAAACCAACTGGTACACATCAATTTACCAATATTTTTGGCGAAGCTCGTTACAAATTCACTATGTAACTTCATACCACGATAAAATTGTGTGCTTGATTTGTGCTTAGGTTGTTGCTGTAAGAAACGTGTTGCACCATTGATAAGAAAACGACATAAATTGAGATTTTCCATGTTTCGAGAGTAGAGTGCATGACTAATAAAACGTGAAGGAAAAGGAGAACGAAGACACCAACTAAGAGCATCAGCTACAACATATGAATGGCCGAATTCTCGTATTAGTGCAAGTATTTTATTATTGTACTGGTAATAGTTTTGAGTCACTTCCATAAATTCCTGTTTACCAATGTTTGATTTTCGCGTCATTATCTAAATGAATCAATTAAAGTTGCGAAAAAGTTTATTTTTTCTTCATTCTCTGTTCTCACATCATCTCTCCACAATTGCAACCAAATAAACGTGTTCTCTGTTTCGAATAAAAATTCTTCAAATCTGATTTGTTGGCATGTTTCGAGAGTTTGTTTAAGTGCCCGAACAAGTTCCTCTTGTTCTTCATAAATACCGATGACTTTGACAAAATCGGTTTTAAACGCTAGTCCATCCAGTTTTAATATGAAGATGGCTTCAACATTTGGCATAGCATTTGCTGTGGAAATTACATCTATATTAGTTGATGTACAGATAAAAAAGATTTTATCCTTTGATGATTCTATCGAAGTAAAGCATGACAATGAATCGGTGTATGATTGAACGTAGTTGTTTATCATTCGAAGTGTATTAACAATATTATCCTTTGATTGTGATTGAGGATCAAGCCAAATAAATGTGACACTTTCATAATTTTGTTGTGGATCGAGATACTTAATGCAACACTTTTGTGGCACAGTGTTTTTGATTGTAGGTGATGAGAGAGAAGCTGATACCAACGGTAGTGGATATTCTTTAGTTTTATCAGCATTTGTTGACTTGTCTGCCTTATTCGATGAAGTTGTGGACATATATTTCTTACTCATTTCTTTTTTATTCATTCTAGACGTAGACATTCATTAGAGAACAGCATTTTTATGATGAAAGAGAGTATCTGTAACAAGCTTTTTGAAAAATGTGTCTAACTTATAGGATTTTTCTCCTCTTTAATTCACTATCTTCTAGATTGAATAGTCTAGAGTTTCGAAAGTTAAGTATAAAATCAGAAATATTCGTATGCTCAAATACTGATTATCTATGATTATCTTCATTTTCTCATTACTTAAATTAAGTTTTTCACTATCATTGTTTTGGTTTTTCGATTTTTAACATCTGGAATTTAACTGAATCGTATTTCTGGGCCACGGCCGATTCGTAATTTTCTTCTGATTTCTTGGAGTGCTATCGTTTCTTTTCTAACAAATGTTGACAAATATAGTTGCAACATCTAAACAATATGGAAGCACTGTGAGAAACCTGCTCTTTGCATGTTAGCAATGTATCGGTAAGAATCCAGTAAATTTTCTTCGTAATCTATGTCGATTCTATATCAATATTTGCTTATACTCTTATAATTATTTTCGACTATTCGACTCTGTTGCTTGAAATCCTTGCATTAACAAGCAAAAAATTTTATTGTTTCTCATTCGGTATTCAGGAATTGAACAGCCTTTATGGTATACAAAAAAAAACTTTGAACGACTTTGAAAGCAAGCAGATTGAGCAGTGAAGTAGATTTTAATTGGAATACAGTTTTTATTACAATCACCTGTGTTTTTGAAACGGCGTTAAAACTTGCATGGAACTAATGTAAGCAAATGGAAACATTTTTCTTACCACTTTTTATCATTGTTTCGTCAGACTGAGCAATAAAACTTTTTTTTTGACAGGTAGTTAATATCAGTATTTTGCTTTGATTAGAGAAAGAGTGCCAGTGTTCCTAATTCATTTACATTATTTTGTAAAAAGAATGAAAGCAATAATTTGTCTGGTGAAACATTCACTTGTGCACAAATATCCGTGGTTGCCAACAACAAAGCAAAAAAATCGATTGTTTCTCGCAACAAGATTGAATTTTTGCCTTCTTTTTGTGCGGAAAATTAATCCCATCTGTTCGGCAATCAAGAAAAAATGTGTCCAATGTTTGAGTATCTTACTGCTCGATAGATACATTCGTAATAGAAAGACACGATACATCAGTATTGCTTTTCACCAACAGTTGATTAGCCACTACTATCCATTCAAAACTCCAGTGGATTTTGCTGTGTAGTGAATAACTAGAGAACTGAAATAGTTAGTCATTTCAAGTTTTCATCAATCGAACGAGAACAGAATATTTTATCAAGATACATAAAATCAAACATTGCAGTAGTGATCAGTATTGATCAATTATCAGCTGAGTATGAATGTTTTTAAAGAATATACTCATATCCACACCTTGAATCCTAGTTGTCCAACTCAGATATTGATTAAAACAGAAGATCAAAACCTTAGATACATCAGTGTAGAAAAGACAAATTGAAATGTGCCATTACCATAGGTTGATACATCGAATCATCCGCCAACTACAATGCTAGCGAAAAGTCCCAAGCCCCGTCTCTTTAAACTGCTTCCACATTTCAAGCTATTCACTGGAAATTTTGGCTAGTGCTATATGGTGAGATTTCTTGATCGACCTGACCACGATTTAGCGTAATATAAGAGAATTATAAATCAAGTATGTAACATTATATGCGGTGAGACTTCAAATTCCATCCGGGGGTGTAACGCTCCCGTCCGAGTATAACCTATACAAGAGATTTGACCTTACGGTGCCATTTCTTCTCATCACACCTATTGCCTTTATCTCTTATTCTCCTTCACTCTAAAAAAAAATAGGTTTAATACCGAACGTCAATGGTTCAGTACATTTCATCTAAACGGTTTTAGGTTCGGTAAAGTGAAAATCGTTTCGTAGTAATTATGCAAAACTTTTATAGGTTCAGAAGAAAAGGTAGGGTTTCGCAATTTTTCAACCTAACTTTCTGTTAGTTTCGCATTTGAAACGCTAATCCATTATAGGTTTCTCAAAATTAAACAAAGTTTCGTAGTATATTGACCACGTGGCTGATGGCTCCGACTTCTTATAGAAGGTTCCGTCCTTCTTATTCTGAGCCATGAAAGGTTTCACACAATATTAGAAGGCTTAGAGTTATTTGTATTTAACCTTTCGTCTTCATATTATTGATATTATGGTTTCGTATATTTTCCGCGAAAAATTTCAGTTTCATAGGGATGATTGATGTAAATCAACAAAACTAATTTCCAAAAAAACGTAGCGATTCAGTCAAGATACTGAATAAACATTTTCTCTTCCAGATACTGCCAGTAAAAATCTCATATTCCTTGTCTATACTCATGTAAAATATAGAATAAAAAGAGTGCCACTTTTCTTAGCCAATTTACTGGACCTACAAAAATTCATGTTACACTGTAAATTTTATTTAAATTCTATTTTGTAGAAAGTCGATCTTAAGTAAACTAAAACATTTTACAAAATTTTATTAGTCATTGTTTGGCCATATATATAAGTCAGTCGACAGTGCTGTGCATTCACTATTTCATCCAACAGCTGTAGCGAGTTGATAAATAATTTTTTTCAGATACCACATTCTTATGGCTCACAAGAATATTAGAAATAGAATTTTCTGAGTATAAAATCGACATTTGAACTCTTACATGTTTTTCAAACTGTATTTGGACTGTTGCGTATTATTTTTATGCTTAAGCTTAAGAATTTTATTCTGAGTATTTGTTTCTGATTAAAATGATTTTAAATAGTTAAAGTATTTTTCTTGGAAGTTTTTTTTCTCTTTATTGCGCCCTGAAGGAATATTTTTTAGTAGCTATGTTTTAACTTATATTCCAATTCTCATATTGTTCTTATTTATGATGTTGTATGGAATATTTTACTCAATATTTATTTCTTGTGTTCAGCCTTGATTACGAAATGAAAATAAAAATTAAATTTCAAGCTTCTACAAAATACTCTAATTGCTTAATTAAATGTGAATTTCTAGAAAAGCACATACGAATTCATTTTCGGATTTTCAACGTAGAAGATCGAATTTTCAAGAAAGTAGGAATTCATCGACCAATTCGTATGAACTTTCCTAGAATATGTTTTATTACACTATATAAATTATTTTCTAGTTTACAGTGTCTATGATTAACTCAATATCAAATTACTCAAGTATCACTAATCGGATAAAATCCCAAAAAAGCAATATTGTACAATTCGTTTGTTGAACGTAAATCAAATCAAGTCAAAGTCATTATCATAACTATGAAGTAAAATCGCTCGTATGAATTTTAAGAACATGAATGAATTTCCTTTCTATACCTTACTTGGAACTCTTCATCACAGGTCATATCTATGATTATTACAATCAAATTAAACAACGTGAATTAATCTATTTTTTTCTATCTACAGTCAAGTTCGTTGTCTTCACCCAGGAGAACCATTCCAACAAGGGTCAGACAGTGAATATACCGACGAAATCTTATAGGATTCCTGGGCACGGGCTTACGGTCGGATCCTTGGTATTGAATCCGATTAGATCCGATGTCGGATTTTAACGGAATCCAACTCTATCGAATCACCCTTACGCTCTGATGGCTCAAAATGCTTATTTGATCGTGAATAAGAAAATTATTTTTTCCGTCGGGACCGACAATAGGTCCGTATCCAGGCATCCTATCGGTTTCTGTCGGGGAGTTGGATTCATCACCTGGGTGCAATTGCCAGGTATAATTATTCTCATAATATTCAAACACAACGAATGAATTAATTATTTCTTTCTGTCGTAGATCACGTTCATCATCATCGTTTTCTACTACTATTACTGGAATAGTATTCAAAAAGAATGGTGTATTATTGTCTTAGAACATGCTGCTCGCAATGATTTTTAGCTATGATTTTTTCATAAAATTCAAGAAGAATGAATATATTTCGTTTTCTATCTTGCATGGAATATATCATCATAAGTTGGAGATATGAGTATAATAATTAAAGCAAGAACACGAACTAATTGCTATTTTCTCTATCTTAGATCGTATTCCTGATTGTGCCATTGCTATATGATATCGTTGATAAAGTCGACGATTATGGGCTTATCGATTCTTATTATCTGTCGTGAATGGCTCTGTGAAGTATCTAACGGGTGGGCCATAAATAATGATGGTCTCCGTATTTCTGGAATATCTCCGCCATTTTTCATTCGTTCGATCTAATTTTTTTTTGAACGATGCGTCATTCGATTCTCTACAAAAATAACTATTTTTATTATCTTAAATAATTTCCCTTGTTTTGAGACAATCGATACAATCGATTAGTCCAAGACGAACAACTTTCAAAGACAACATCCTGGGAAATTTTTCGAACAGCACGTTTCAGAGCAGTGATTAATGTTGTTTTAGATGTCACTGCGTCCCATTCGATCAGTTGAGCGAATTCGTTCCAAATACAGTAGTCCAATGGATTTAAATCAGGACTGTTTGGAGGCCAGTGGCTCTTGTCAATGAACGATGGAAAGTTCTTGGTGCACCATTCCTGAGATTTTGCATGAGTGGGAGGCTTTGCACCNAATGAAAAATGGCGGAGATATTCCAGAAATACGGAGACCATCATTATTTATGGCCCACCCGTTACGACAACAGGGCTTTTGTTAAATGGCATGATAAAAATTCAGTGGTTCATATATGAGGGTTATTCTAAGGAGACAGAGAAATCGTAAATAAATTGCGTTGTGTCAAATCTCTCTGAATATTAAATCAGTTCAATCATACTCTATATTTGGTTTGAAAATTTCAAGCAAAAAGTAAGCTGAAAATTTTCGCTCACGATCGATTTATTTATTTCTGTTTTAGATTAAACAGCCACCAAAATTGAAACATGCATTGTGTTTTTGGTAGGGGTGGCACTTTAACTTTAAATTGACCGTAAAGTACAGAGTTTAAAGTTGTTTAAAGTCACACTTAAATGTTTATTTTATACGTTTTATCTGTTGCAGAGAGTCTCATAAGCATGAGTAAATACGCCGGTACAGTAGAAAGTATTAAAAATAAGCGTTTAAAGGCGACTTTAAACAACTTTAAACTTTAAACTTTACGGTTAAAGTAAATTTAAAGTGCCACCCCTAGTTTTTGGAAGGTACAACTAGTTGGTATGTGTAAAAACAACGAGCCAATAATTATTGTGCAGTAAACTTAGTGAGTATTGTCTTAAGTGACGTAGAAAAACACCATCTTACCTACTGGAACTTCTGATGACCTTTGTATCGTTAGTACTAGGGCTATGAAACGTAAAATTGCTCAAAGTTTCAGCTTGAACTGACCTATCACTCATTTCGACACCAGTTTCAATCATTTGCGCTTGTGATGGTGAGCTATACAATCATTCTCGTATGTGCTTACGTAACAGAATATTAGAGAAGTATCTCTAGATCGAATGCAGAGACATGGCAGTTGTCGTAGTGGTGAAAGCGTCGGTTCGTTCTGGCTAAAGAATCACCCTTCTCTCCGTTTCCTTTCAGTATGGCGAATTGGCTCCCAAATCGCCCACAGTATGTTTTTGTGGATGCTGTTTAAAACAGAGTATGTTCCAAATTCTAATATATTGCACCAATCATGGCTTGACATACATTAATGAATGCAAGACCAATGCTTATTTTTAAAATACTAATAATTATAAGTTAGCTTTTACACATTATTCATTTGACTGCTGAACACGAATACAAAGTCGAATAAAATAATAGAATGCAATTAACCAATCTAGGATTCTAAATTTACAGCATAATTCTTGTCTGTACACTAAGCTGTGTATAACGACGCTATGGGTGTCTTTTCTCAGTCACCAATTTTTGTCCGTATATTTTATGATCAGTTTTACACAAATGTTAAAAAATCTTAGCAAGAAATTTCACATAGAAGAGGAAAATGAAAATTGTGATTTGTATGTTATACACTTAGTATGAACATACAGTTCAAGATAACGTCGACGTGATGTTGTCTGACCGGACATATTTCTGTCGCTGCATTATTATTCTACTAAAAGTTTTTCACGGTTAAGTTGTCAGCACGTTTCTGATGTATCTTTAATGTTGTTAAAGCAAGTCAATTAAAAGTGTTTCCAGGTGTGAGAGGTCATGTTTATTCGTTGAATTCTATCTTTCTTTCTTCAACATTTTTGATTATTTGATCTTTCATTATCGACTACAGTTTTTCGACTAAATTTATTATTATACTCATCGACTGAAACGTCAAACATTTAAACTTGTATATGTATAAGAATGATGAAAAGAACAGAGCAAAGAGAAATACGAGGTAATTAAAAACAGACATTGAATATTTAGTAATTATTACTATCACTACTTAAAACTCTCAAGTATTAGTACGTTTTTTAGAAGTGAAAATACTTGTACTGGTGCTGACCCAATGTCTGGAATGCAGAGAAGAGAATCCTTTCGAAAAAATGTCTATATCCGTGTGATACTGAACATGATCATGATTTAATAATTCCAATACCTTTGTATAGAGAAAAAATGATTAGGCGTAAAAACACGAATATTTCTCACAAAGTACTATACTGTTAATATATACGTATATATCCTGGAATCGATTTTTAACTCTTTACTATCTACATACAGTCAGTAAAATGTTGTTATGCCTCAATTCCAATCTGTGATGCTCTCTGGCGATTCCATACATCATAATGCAGACAGCGGCATAAAAGTCGCAACGACTCGCAGACCACGGCAGACGGGTTTCGCAAAGGAGTTTTATTGTTTCACATTTTAATCCCACAGGGATTGTGGTAACAGCTTTTAAAATATGAATGCAGTCTGAACGGCATGACAAGTGAGAAAATTTTCGATTCCTCGTTTTGTATAAATGCAAATTTAAATTTAATTCAAACTGAAATATAAATTATTATGCTAAGAATTCATCAGTGTGAAGCTAGCACGACGGAGCTAGCACGATGAAACAGAGACTCAACTATAAGTCTTCTCAGAAGTATTGCCGTCCCATAAAAACCAGACCATTTGATGCAGAATTTAATTTGGATAGGATGGTGATACTTTTATTCCCCGGCAATACTTAGGAAAAAATTTTACCTACACCTTTGTTTTCTTCTAAATAGGACAAGAAAAACCGGATGGAATTTTCTCAAAGTATTGCCGGGGAATAAAAGTATCACCATCCGATCCAAAATAAAATTCTCCATCGAATGGTCTGGTTTTTATGGGACGGCAATACTTCTGAGAAGACTTATAGTTAAATCTCTGTTTCATCGTGCTGGCTCCGTCGTGCTAGCTTCACACTGATTAAAGATCCACTGATAAATAAAATTTCTGTTCTAATGATCAAGTATTTAATTAATTCAGTTAACAACATTCGACTCGCCATTTTCTTTAAATTAAAAACTCGACAGACAAGGCTTTCTTTTTCACGTCACTCTCAATCGAGTGTATTGAGAGAGAGAGAAAAAGAAATCATCTTATTTAAGTGAACAATTCATTTTTGAATAATAATTCTTTCTCTAAATCAGAGACGCGCACCGAATAACCTTTTCTATCCTGTCCAATGCACGTCTCTGCTCTCAATAAAAAAAAATTGTGTACGATAACGAAGTTTTCAGTAAAATTCCTTTTTGATCTTTTTCTAAATCAACATTTTAACCAATAAAGTTAACAGAAAACAAAATGATTGTGTTTGTATAAAATAGTATCATAATAATATTGTATTTGAATGTTATATACAGCCGTTAGATACATAGTCAATCGAAACTCTGCTTATGATGAATTCTGCTGCTGTCGTGAAGAAGAATGATTGTTTGCAATTCAATCCTGAATTTTACTACAATAATATGCATTGTCATTGGCGCATTATTGGATTAATATGATAAGTGGATTGCTTTAGTTTGAATGGGTCATTACCTAGATTGCGTCTGCTTCTTATAATATATTGCTTAATGCTCCCAATAAACTAGGAAGAAAGCATTCCGTCATTTTCTATTCGTTGTATTCGATATAGTGTTTTTGAAACTTTTAGCAACTTTCTTTAAATGAAATATAGCATCGATTATATAGTGTATTGTTCTATATCAATGGGCGATTAGAATGAGAGGTAGGTAGTGGTCAGATTGTAATTATGAACAAATTTTTGATTCCAAATGCTGCGAATTGGAATGTCATGCTAATGCTTCATTGCCTATATGCTGTTGTCAAGTGTTTCACGGTCTGTTAAATATATTACTCAAAAGTGTTGGTGATCATAATCCTATGATATGATATAATATACTCTAAATAGAAATCTTTGTTCTATTGTCAGGTTTTGACTACCAAGTGGTCTATATGTAGTGTTGTAAAGAAAGAGTTGGTCCATCAATTTGCCCTATGTATTATCAAGTTATATTACCTATCGCTTACATATCCATAGATAGTCCCACCTTTGATGCATTATACAGTGGAAACGGTGAAGGTGGAGACATATAAGAATATGCAAACGGTACTCAAAAGATCTGTTAATTAATATATCATTTGATAGGAGAGGTTTCCCTCTATTAGACTAGATATATTCCATTAGTCAGTCAAAACCTTATAGTTACCGTCGAGAGATTTGATCTAATTACTGAAATGTTGAATAATTTGTGCAAGAATTTCTAAAATTACTATTGTTTCTAATTTATTAAATGAGATTTTATTGAAATCTCTTATTAGTTTCTTAAATCACATTGTCATCATTTAGTCTATTGCTTTAGAAATATTGGCGAATTGATTTTTAGTAAATTTCAGTAAAATTCTAACCATGACTCCGACTTACAATTCAGATGTGGGTACATACGATTTGTTCAAACAGTTAGAATCACAATTCCACCATTACATAACAATGAACGCCTGGAGAAAGGATTTACATCGTCAACATATTGAGGCTAGTGAGAATTTTGTACAAGGAATAATCTATCGAAAAAATGAAGCAAGAGGCTCCATCATCTGCTGAAAAAATAGCTCCAAATGTAACAAATCAAAGCAAACGATGGGGGCCTGCTGCATCTGTAACACTTGTTCATCAACTTATAGAAGTTTTATTTACTAGAGGAATTCGTCGTGGTTCAATTCCAATTGAACAACAAGACCTGAGAATGCGAAAAGCATTGGTGAGAAATTGTTTAGCATATGATAAAGGTTTAAGATTTTTCTATTCTTATGTTACCATTTCGTAATAGCAATAAATCGAAGAATGACGGTTATTTACCTGATGTTGGAAAAATGATTACCCTCTTGCAGCTATGATCTATTGCTAAGACAATGCTGATCGCAACACAAAATTATGCTAAAATGTCATTGAAAATATATAATAAAGTGGTTGAATAAGTGAATACGATTATGGACGTGAAATACAGTATTGAAGCTATTGTTACTGCAAAAACAATATTTTACGATTTTTCACAATAACGCGGTAGCTGTAAAAATGCCACATTATGGGAAGAATTAAACCATGATTATTTTTGTAAGAGATGCTAAAAAGTCTGATTTATTGATACAAGAGTTGTCCTGTCTTAATTGTACGATTGCATGGTTTCTACAATCGGTGAAAGAAGTTCTTCAAGTTGAGACAAACTCAATTCATCTCTTCATTGTTCAAGATGGTCGTCGATATCCCTACTATGATACTGATTTGGATGAGCATATTCAGGCTTATTCAAAATGCTTACAGGAGATAATCGTACAACTGGATATAAATGAAAACATCATATTAACATCACATGACAAGTTAGAGTAAAAATATATTGATGGCGAAGAATTACAAATGCTTATTAAACGGCGAGCTGAAATTTATTTAAACAAATTCGAACAATTTTCACAACCACTATTTCAAGCAAAATCTGACCTTTTACAATGTCAAACACGAAAACAATTTCTATCTTTAGTTGAACAACTTTAATTAAACAATAATCTATTTCAACTGATCGAACCAATGCTACAAGGCCGCTATCATCCAGAATTAGCTGATCAGCATCTCTCACCAAATGATGAATTTAAACTTTTAGCTCAAATCTATAAACCACAAATTAACGATGAAAAACATGAATTATTAAGACAAGAATTGTTATTTTCAAGTTCAATCAACGCAGTAAAATATCTTTGTTCATATGAATCACAAACATCAACACAAAATAGATATAAATTGGATGACATAAAGTTTTTATTACCAAATACAGTTCGTCTTAGTATGCATAACAAACCATCAAGCGATGCACATTTTTTAATAAAATGTGGAGCGAATTTGCATCGACAGCCGTGGCATGGAACAGGTGGTTTAAGATTAAGTAGTGATAGAGGACAACGATCAATATCATTCGAAGTTTGACTGAGTTTTGAATACAAAATTAATAATTATCTTCCAGTATTTATTAAAAAAGAAACGGAAACAAATGATCATGGTTATCTATCAACAATAGCATGCACCGATCCACCAATTGTGTGGATTCATTCAAGTTTAGTTGAAACCAATGGTGATAATAGTTATGACATGAGTCGAATTTTTGATCATAAGCACAAAATTCGACTTATTTAACATTTTTCATTTCAAATTTTAAACCTTTATTAGTGGTTTCATCGTATATATAACATATTTTCGTCGACATTCTTAGTAGAACTCTAGCTTATCGAATCGTATTGAACATAGTCGATTTTCTGGTTTTCATGGAGAGAACCAATACTGGTTTTAATTTTGAGTTGCAGAGTACAAGTGATTTTTAAATAATTAACATAGATAGAAGCTATTGCACCTGTTTCGGAAAATTAGGAGGCATAGTACGTAAGCCCCACCCAATCTTGCTTCGCCAATCTTCCTGATTTGATTGATATTTCTACCGTAAGATATTCACATTAAAGTTACGAATAGAGCTAAACTTTTAGTTTGAACAGTTGAACTATTCGTGAAATATTGATGGGGTGTGGGTGGGTACGGATGTTGTTGTTGATATTCTTTTAAGTCTACATCCATGGCCACTCTCCCACACCCAAGCGGTATAGTCCATTGAAATCAGGGGCAGTGTTGCAGGTGCAGTATAATCAGTTTTTCGTATGACAACAATTTGCTAAAAGCTAAATATATAAATAGTCAATTTCACAAAATTTCGAGGAAGTAAAGAATTCAGTTTATAATCT